ATCGAAGTGTTTGTAGATTGAAACTGTCGAGGACTGTTATTATTGGCGTACCTCGAGTTCTTGCCTGCCTTCAATTTTACCGTTTAGGCGGTTTACCTATATGTTAAAAAAAAAAAAAAAATCTGTGGCTTTATATATACTATAAGAATGCTGTTACTAAACATTTCCGTCAGCTTCGTCTGGCCATCTGAATTCTCAAACTTTATGTTATTTAAATAATTTGCAGTCGAAGTAGTTGTCATCCCAGAACGAAAACACGTATAAGAACCTCTCGTATGGAATATTTATGGCCTGAAAAATAACTATTCCTAATAGCTATTCTGTACAAATGTGTTCAGAGAAATTACTTTAACTAATCGTTTTTCATAATCGTACAATATGTAGAAGCATAAGATAAGAAAACAAAATAATGTATACCGACCTACCGAAAGCAATGTATTTATTATAGTGTCAATATTGTTATTGCTGTTATTATCATCATCATTACCATCATCATCATCATTATCATTATCATCATTATTATCATTATCATTATCATTATTATCATTATTATTTTTTTATCATTATCATTACTATTGTTATTATTATTATTATTGCTATTATTATTACTATTACTATTAATATAATTATTATTATTACTATTATCATTATTATTATCAATATCATTATTATTATTGCTAATATTATTATTATTATTATCATCATTATTATCTTTCTTATTGTCATTATCATTAGTCATTATTACCATGATCATTAGTCATTATTACCATGATCATTAAAATTATTATCATTATTACGGATGATATTACCAGTGATATTATTATCATTATTATCATCATTATTTTTTATAGTAATTATCATTATAATTGTTATCACTATCATTATTATTACCATTATCGTTCTTATTATCCTTATTATCATTATTATTGTTTATACTATTATTATTATTATTATCATTATTATTTATATTATTATCATTATCATTATTATCATCATTATTATGATTATCACCATTACTATCATTACCACTGTTATTATCATTATTATCATTATTATCATCATTATTATCTTTCTTATTGTCATTATCATTAGTCATTATTACCATGATCATTAGTCATTATTACCATGATCATTAGTCATTATTACCATGATCATTAGTCATTATTACCATGATCATTAAAATTATTATCATCATTATTATCATTATCATCATTATCATTTCTATTAGTGTTATTATTATTATTATTATTGCTAATATTGTTCTTATTATTGCTAATATTATTATTATTATTATTATTATTGCTAATATTGTTCTTATTATTTCTAATATTGTTCTTATTATTTCTAATATTGTTCTTATTATTGCTAATATTGTTATTATTAGTAGTATTGTTATTATTATTACTATTATCATTATTATTATCAATATCATTATTATTATCATAATTATCGCAATCATTATTATCATCTTCATTGTTATCATTATCATTATTATCATCATTATTATCTTTCTTATTGTCATTATCATTAGTCATTATTACCATGATCATTAGTCATTATTACCATGATCATTAGTCATTATTACCATGATCATTAGTCATTATTACCATGATCATTAGTCATTATTACCATGATCATTAGTCATTATTACCATGATCATTAGTCATTATTACCATGATCATTAGTCATTATTACCATGATCATTAAAATTATTATCATTATTATCATTATCATTACTATTGTTATTATTATTATTATCATCATTATTATCATTATTATCATTATCATTTCTATTAGTGTTATTATTATTATTATTGCTAATATTATTATTATTATCATCATTATTATCATTATTATCATTATTATTAACATTATTATCATCATTATTATCTTTCTTATTGTCATTATCATTAGTCATTATTACCATGATCATTAGTCATTATTACCATGATCATTAAAATTATTATCATTATCATTATCATTATTATCATTATTATTATCAATATCATTATTATTATGGCTATAATTATTATTATTATTGCTAATATTATTATTATTATCATCATTATTATCTTTCATATTGTCATTATCATTAGTCATTATTACCATGATCATTAAAATTATTTTCATTATCATTATTATCATTATTACGGATGATATTACCAGTGATATTATTATCATTATTACGGATGATATTACCAGTGATATTATTATCATTATTATTATTGCTAATATTATTATTATTATCATCATTATTATCATTATCATTATTATCATTATTATCGTCATTATTATCATTATTACGGATGATATTACCAGTGATATTATTATCATTATTACGGATGATATTACCAGTGATATTATTATCATTATTATCATCATTATTATCTTTCTTATTGTCATTATCATTAGTCATTATTACCATGATCATTAAAATTATTATCATTATTATCATTATTATTATCAATATCATTATTATTATCAATATGATTATTATTAT